CTCCTCCTCCTCCTCCTCCTCCTCCTCTTCTTCTTCCTCCTCCTCCTTTACATGTACATGTTTCTGGTAGTAGCCGAAATACCAGCAGATGAGCTGAGCTCTGTGTGTTTCCACATTCCCACACTAAGTTTTTCTCTGTTAAGAGCCTCCATTGGAGGTTTCACACTTGGACACTCCAACTCTCAACCTGTTCAGGATCCTCCCTGAACTAAGAAGCTTAAGGGAGGCTAGACCCTTCAGCCACATCCTCCTCTATTGTTCCTCCTTGCTCGCTGGTCTCCTTCCTCCGTCATTTAATTCGATTTTCGTCCTTGCATACTCTCGACAATGTTTCTTCTTTCCACAGAACAAACTACCTGGCAGTGCTAGCGTAATTCACAAGCATAGTGTAACAAGAGAGTCCAGCCACAATTCTTTAGAATGTCCAAATACTCCTCGGTCAAATCATCTTGCAATCTTGTAAGCTGTGGGTGCAATTTTACCATTTTGTTGGTGATCTTTTCCTTTCTTCAAAAAATGTCTACGAGTGTTGACTTCACTCACTACCAGTTCAAGCTGTACTAGGCTACAGGCATGCACCCACCTCATCTATGAGGATCCCTAACCATAGCTTAAGCCTAATTCCACGGTCTTTGACGTTGTATTACGATGGCATTCCTTGTAGGGAAAGGCCAAGGGGCTTAAGAAATAAAGAAATCCAGATTTGGTAAGCTGGGGAAGGCAAAAGAACAGAATTAGGCGCACTAATTATGTGGCTCCATTGTGCTCAAGGTTGTGTACAAGAATATATGAACGAGTTTAATAGACTTCGACTGAGACTTCAAAATTCCCACAATTAAAGATAAATGCTGCATTTTTCTTCTTCTTTTTTGAAACTGCAGATATGCAGTTCTGGGTGTAATCCCATCAAGCAGCTGTTTGAAAACACAACAGGAAAAGGGTGGAGGGGGGGAAAGTTATTTGCCAAAAATAAAAATAAAATTCTAATTCAACGTTTGCTTGACCTAAATTCGAACATGGACAAGTGTAAAAAAAAAAACCGGGTTTTTGCACTGAAAATATTGGGCTTGGAGTCTGTTAGTTCTAGAATCTAGATGATCAAAAGGAAGGAATTTCCATTTGATTACTAACCGATATCCTTCAGAACTGATTAAAGTGATTCAACATTTCTGAATCAAAATTTGAATACTGAAATTTAGGCAACATTCTCTCTTCATTACCCTCAAGGAGCTTAAAAATATTTCACGGAGCTGAAATATTTGCATTTTTAAAATCTCATCTGATGGAGAATTGCCTCTCATAATGCCGTTCAATTAAATATAGGTTACTGGGAAAAAAAGGTGCTTCCAAAATTTCTTGTGCTTTTCTGTATGTCCATTACAGGCCCGGGGGGGTTAAACCAGGACAGAGAGAAAGAGGGTAGATTTTGACATTGGAATGGAAGCTTTTGTGATTTGTGGAATTAATGGTCCACAATTTGGAAAATAGAGGGACCAGCTGCTGCAAAGCCGGATGATATATGTGTATGTGTGTGTGTGTGTGTGTGTATGCATGCCACTCAGGGAATTCCATCTGAAAAACGGGAACTCTAATTTTCTTTCTTCAAATGCTCAGAGCTCCATCTTGTGGCAAATTGTTTTATTCGGGAGTTTCTACAAGATTTCATCCAATTTAGGGATTGAATTACCAGAGACAGGGAAAGGCAACATGAATAGAATAGAATAGAATAGAATAGAATAGAATAGAATAGAATAGAATAGAATAGAATGCAGAATAAGAATAGAATAGCAGAGTTGGAAGGGACCTTATAGGCCATCTAGTCCAACCCCCGCCCAAGCAGGAGATCCTACACCATTTCTGACAGATGGAAGTCCAGTCTCTTCTTGAAAGTCTCTAGGGATGAAACTCCCACAACTTCCGAAGGCAACTTGTGTTCCATGGGTTGATTGTTCTCACTGTCAGAACATGTCTCCATATTTCCAGGTTGAATCTCTCCTTGTTCAGTTTCCATCCATTATTCCTTGTCTGGATGCCTTGGAGAATAGCTTGACCCCTTCCTCTGTGTGGCAGCCCCTCAAATATTGGAAGACAGCTATCCTGCCTCCCCTGGTCCTTCTCTTCACTAGACTAGCCAGATCCAGTTCCTGCAACCGTGCATCGTATGTTTTAGCCTCCAGTCCCCAAATCATCTTGGTTGCTTTTCTCTGCACTCTTTCTAGAGTCTCAACATCTTTTTTGTACTGTGGTGACATGATTATTTTTCTTAAACCTGCAAAAAGGCAGTTTTGCAATTCGTAAAATTGGCATTCTTCCTGAGAAAACAACCAAGCTAGAAAGTAAAGAATATTGCACTGAATTGAATCAGCCCGAACACAACCAGAGCATTGGTGGGATTAATTTTTTTTTTTACTACCGGTTCTGTATGCGTGGCTTGGTGGGCGTGGCCTGGTGGGCATTGCAGGGAAAGGTTACTGCAAAATCCCCATTCCCTCCCCACCCCACTAACCTGCTTTCCAGCTCTGTTCTCCTGTGCAGGGCAACCAAAGAAGACCCAGCCGATCAGCTGGGACTCCGGAGGCAGAGAATAGATGGGGCCGGGGCCAGTCAGAGGTGGCATTTGCCGGTTCTCCAGACTACTCAAAATTTACGCTACCGGTTCTCCAGAACTGATCAGAACCGGCTGAGTACCACCTCTGGACCAGAGGTGATGGAGTTCTCATGGGAAATAAGATGGCAAATCCAGCATGGAAAGTGATAAACACATGGGTTGCCTTGCAAAATAGTTGCTGCCCAAAGTGTCTGATTTACACAATTGTTGTAACTGTCATACATGAGAAATC